TATCAGATTAGTCTCTACAACTGTACAATCAGTAATTATGCCTAACAAAAATAACTGAGGGGGTAAACTTTATCCTTTTTTAGAGAACATTTTGCATAATCCACCATATTTCAATCCAAAATGCTTTAACCTTTTTGCAAGTCCACCATATATGGAAATATGTAGCATCCATAGACTCATATCTCCTGTGCTGGTTGAGTTTTATGCTTCAAGCCCCTTCCAGTTGCAGTGTCGGTACCAAGGGTCACTCATCTCAAGAAGCAGCTGGCATGGGTTATTTTAGACCATGCTTTAGATGAGTTGGAAGGCCAAAGGCCCAGGAACTGAGAATATACTGTTCCCAGCTTTGAAATGTGGCTGTGGGATTCTGGGAGTTGAAGTCCACCGGTCATAACTTCTCCAAGGTCGGATACCCCTGCTTTAACCATTCCTCTCATCAAAGCAATGATATCATTAGCATCTCACTAGCATGGCAAGTAAAAAGTTTTCTGCCCAACAGAAATGGGCAAAAACTGTCCAAGTGATTGGCTGCATAACAATCCTCATGATTGAAGAAATTTTTTTACTTGCTCTGCTATAGCAAGATGCTAATGATATCATTGCTTTGCTGGGAGGAATGGTTAAAGCAGGGTATCCAACCTTGAACCCTTTAAGTCCTGTGGATTTTAACTCCCAGAATTCCCCAGCCAAGTCGGTTGGGGAATTCTGGAAGTTAAAGTCCATAAATTGTAATATTTTCAAGGTTGGACACCTTTGGGTTAAAGCCCGATTTTTAGCAACAAAATCCAACAATGCCAGTATAATTCAGCTGTGTGATGATAGGTATTATTGATGAAAGTCAATTACAGAAGATACTATAGATAGATAATACAGTTGCTATAACTTGTTTTGGTTATTAAAAAGGTAGGATTTGAGATCACCATAGCATGTTCTGCTCATATGGGAATCGTACACTAGATAATTAGCTATCTGTGAAATAATTATGATCCTGTATTCCACAAAGCAGGAATATTGCTGTCTGGCAGCTTAATTTGATAGTTTTATGATGTCAGTTTTTTTTTTTTAAAAAATTGAAAAGCCAGAAGTGAGCCTAGCAGAACAGAAAGCTGCTGACACTGAATTAACTATGCATACCTGAGCAACAATCAATGTTAAAACTCATTGTTTTAATTCTGTTGAAAAGTAAGAGTTTGTAATGCTAGCCTGTGACTAGAATCCCAAGATAAATTGAAAATGAAAATTGCAAAATTCATTTCAGTTGGACTACAGTACCGTATTATTCCAATAAAAGCATTTTTTTTAAAAAAAACCACCTGATTGATATTACAGAGACCTGAAATAATACCTTAATGCATTATGTGAAGACTTAGCTCTCTAGTGAAGGCTCTGATGATGGGAAAGATGGAATGAACGAGGGGGAGGAGAGGAAGTGCAGCTGCAAGGATAGAATCAGTTACAGCAGGGGGACCCCCAACCCCCCAGTCTGCAGCCTGGTACCAGTCCGTAGCCCTTTAGAAACTGGGTCATGCAAGCGGTGGATGAGTGTGTGGACGCACAAAACTACATTTGTGCAAGAAGCGTGCGCCCACGCAAAACCATCCCCTCTCCCTCCTCCCACCATTGCTGCCACCGGTTCTCAGAGCCAGAAAGGTTGGGGACCACAGAGTCACAGCAAAGATAGATACACCGTTGGACGACCTGAAGCACCAGGCAAGAGATTGTCAGGGAGAAATTCTGTGCTTAGAGCAAACACCACTTTGAAAGCCCATAATTAAATGCCGCAAAAGCTTTCTGTTTTAGTTTCTGTGAAATGTTTATGGAATCAAACCTCCCCCAGTTACATTCCCTGTCTCTTTTTATTTACTTTCTGTTCTTCACTTTCAGGTGAATTTTACAGTAGAACAGATCCGAGCGATCATGGACAAAAAGTCCAACATCAGAAACATGTCGGTGATTGCTCATGTTGATCATGGCAAGTCCACGCTTACAGATTCCTTAGTGTGTAAAGCGGGTATCATCGCTTCTGCCAGGGCCGGTGAAACACGATTTACTGACACACGGAAAGACGAGCAGGAAAGGTGCATCACAATCAAATCTACGTGAGTATCGTTAACTTTTCTCTGCAGTCCTTTTCGACTATCAATTGTACATCAGTTACAAATGGAGTGTTCCGAAAATAACAGTCTTCCATTTGGTTTATGCTAGTTTATTTTGAAAAATTCACTCTCTTGACGGATTTTATAGGTCAGAATATCTGACTCTTGTAACTTAGACTTGCCAAGTTGTTTCTTGCTCAGAGAAGCACTCACTAAAATGCTCTATCAAGGCTCCGACTAACAAACTCAAACAAATCAGGATTCTGAGACTGGGCTCCTTCTCAAAGGTCTTCTTTAATGAGTACATCATATCGGCACAGCCTCGACGGAAAACCAAATCTAAATCTTTCCCGTGGTTTCAGTATAATTAAACTAGGAAATAACCCCATCTCCAAGTGTCACAGGTCACGTTCACCAATTAGGTCAATTGGCGGGCTCTCCAGGCACCCCTTCCCCAACCGCATCCATTACCAATAGGGATGACCTTGGTTCTCAGGAGAAAACTTTCTGTTTTGTCTAGTAAGGCATTCCAACCTTCCCCCCTTTCCCTTCTATGTGCAACTGAGGAATAGAAAGATGGCTGCAGCCAGGTTCAGTTGGAAGTTGACATGCTCTTTAAAACGGGGGGCCCCAACCCCAGAGCCAAGACCCACTACTGGGCCATGTCTGGTATTGGGTTATGCAAGGGGCAGGCGATGCACGCGGAAGTCCATTTGTGTGAGCAGCAGCTGCTCGTGTTTCCGTGCAAAGCTCTATTTGTGCGAGTGGTGGGTATGCACGCCCACTGCTTGCTGAAATGGAGCTGTGTGCACCATCGCCTCTCCCTTACCCCTGCCAGTCTGCCAAGCTAGAATTTTGGGGGACTGCTGTTTTAAAATACTAAAATTTTAAACTAAAAAAGATGGATTTTAGAGAAATAGCCATGCGAGTTGTGATAGCAATAATAAAATATTTTGTGATTGTGTTTCTGCATTATAGTCTGTTTCACAAAGTGTGTCTCGTGCAAGGCACGGAAGATATGAGGGATCATAAATATGTTAGGTCCAACGCCTTAGAATTTCTACAGGTAGTCCTCAATTTACAACCACAATCGAGCGCAAAATTTCCATTGCTAAACATGACAGTTGTTAAGTGAGTTTTGCCCCATTTTACAATCTTTCTCGCCAGAGTTGTTAAGTGAACCATTCCGTTGTTAAACAAATCAGGCTTCCCCCCTTGACTTTGGTTGTTGGAAGCCGTCTGGAAGGTTACACGTGGTGATCATGGTGTCACCCGGGATCCTGCAACTGTCATAAGGATGAGTCAGTTGCCAAACACCCAAATTTTGGTCACGGGGGATGCTGCCACGGTCGTACATGTGAAAACCGGTCATAAGTCACTTTTTTCAGTGTTATTGTACTTCAGTCACTAAACGAATGGTTGTAAGTCGAGGCATCGGCTTATCAAACATGGTTAGGATGAAGGCCACACTATTCTTCCCAAGTAAGGATGCATTTCTGTATTATTTGTGTGAGCAGCATACACAATAAAGAAATGTCATGATATTACTTTACATCAATGTTTCTCAACCTTAGCAACATTAAGATGTGTGGACTTCAACTCCCAGAATCCCTCAGTCAGTCATGCTGGCTTGGGAATACTGAGAGTTGAATTCCACATAACTTCATAATAAGAAGAGAGGAGAGGAGAGGAAAGACTAGAGACAAATAAGAATAGGAGTGGAATGGAGTAGGATAGGATAGAACAGAATAGAATAGAATAGAATCTTTATTGTCACTTACCATTCTCTGTATGGACTTTCTATCTGAGGCACTGCTGCCACCAAATCAAAGAGCCGAGGTGCGCAGTGGGTAGAGTGCAGTACTGCAGGCCACTTCAGCTGACTGCTATCNGAAGTCTTTATTATGTAAAGTGGACTAGCCTGGCCGTCTTAATGGCCCATTGACAAAGTGGGGATGGGCAGAAAGCTACAGGCAACTATTCTGTCTTTTAAAACATGTTTCTTTTCACCTCCAGAGAAATATTCTGCCTTTTCAATATTTCCTAGGATATTTCATTTTTCTGGGAGAGGGCTGGATGATAACTTCCCACAACATTAAGTGAGTTAAGAAACATTTGGATGAGAATGGGGTTAGGAAAATATTAGAATGTGCAGAAATGAATAGGAATAGGAAAGAGAAGGAACAATTTGGTGATTATAACATATGGGAATTATTTTATCAAGGGTTAAGAGAATAAATATGAAAAGTGGAAAAAAATCAGAGGAGTGAAATAGAATGTTTTAATAAAAATAAATAAGTTAAGAAAAGGACCGTTATTTCTATTAGGCATGGTATATATTAATATTAGTATTAAGTCAAGCATAGATATAATAATAAACATGACTGTACGTTGTAATTGTTATTGTATAAAATATTGGCACAAACCATTTGTACCCAGGCGACACACTGTTTATTGGAAGATGATGCTTGAATCAAAATATTTTTTTAAAAAAATGGGGAAAAAAGAGAGATTTGTTCAGGGAGTCTTGCCCCATTTTACGACTTTTGTTGCTCGTCAGGAGGTCACAAAAAGGGATCGCAATGATCGTGGGGGCACAGCAAAATTCATCAGTCTCAACCAGTCGCCAAGCAGCTGAATTTCGATCACGTGACCATGGGGGGGGTTGGAATGCCGCAACGGTCGTAAGTGCGAAAAAAACAGTCCTAAGTTAAGTCACGTTTTTCAGTGCCGTTATAACTCTGAACGGACACTAAAGGGGACTGTTGTAAGCTGCCTGGACCGCATGTGGCAGAAGGACGTGCCACTCTCTCCCTTCCTCCCTTTGTACACCCGGCGCTGCGCCGTGAAGATAACGGCGCGGCGGGGAGGCGGGGGGGGGAAGCGTGGGAAAACCGGCGCCGGCGACACCAACACGAACGCGCTCTCCGGAGGACCGCGCGTCGCCTCCCTCCCTTCCAGAGCCCGAGCTGCAGACCATAGACTGCAAATCTGCATGCCAGAGGGTCTCCCTAACCCCCCTCCTCCGCCTTTATTGTGTCCGCTCTAGGATTCCCCCGCCCCGCACCCGTTTGTAGTCTTGGCCTTTGTTTTTTTCTTTATCCCTCCTTCTCCTCTCTTCGGCTCTCTCTGACCTCCGCGGTCTGAGGCGGCGGCGGCGGCGGTTTCTGAGGCGGCGGCGGCAGCGCGGGGCAATCTAGAACCATCCGCCAAAATGGTGAGCGATCCCCCGGGCGGAAAGGCACGATACCCCGAGGGGGGAAGGCCGGCGACCCCCTCGCGGCCCCATTTTGTGAGGCGGGCGCCCTCGGGGGTCCGTACCAGCCTTTCTTTCCCGGAGACCCCACCCTGGCCCCGGCCTCTCCCGACAGCCATTTTCAGGGCAGTTGCTCTCTGTCTGTCCATCTCCCCCCCCCCCCCCCCCCCCCGCCGTCATCCCTATTGCAGGACCCATGTCAGGATGATGTCAGTGACATCCTCCCTAGAGGACGTGGGTCATGATGGGGAGGGGGGAGAGGAATTGCCAGTGTGGGTCACCCACTTCTTTGTGGCTCTTTCTCTTCCAGTCCTGATAAAAGGGTCAGCTGGGTTGCCCACTAGAGTGGGCTGGGGAAGGTAGAGGGGGGTCTCCTTGCACTGCTCGGGAGGGACTACAAAGCCCATCATCCCTTGCGCTGAAGACGAGCCCAACCCAGCTGATCAAAGATCCACTTGGATCTTTTATCTGCTACGACCAGGGAAGGGGGAATTCTTGTGGTGGTGGTGGTGGGGGGGGGAAGCTCCAAGAAGTTAACTCGGGCACCCGTGGCATAATTTATGAGGGTTGAAGGGCTGGTTGCAACAGCCAGCCAGATGTTCAGGGCTGGATTTGGGCCTTTGAGTCCACCTATGGGGGGGGGAGTCCTTCCCAACCACCCGGGATAGGCAGATGTGCTTTAATAATAATAATGGTGATAATAAAGGTATCGCCGCAGGATGTCAAGTGTTGCAAGGCTGTCTTTTGCAATTGAGGGTTTTGTCAAAGCCAGTGGTGGTTCAAGTAATGCTCCAGATGTTTTGGGATTGCACCTAAGGGCACCTATTGCTGTGGATGCTTACTATCTCTGCTTCCTTTTGCCACCGTTGTTCTCTTACTTCTGTGTGTGGCTCTTTGGATTTTTTGCGATTTTTCTACCGTTCTTTCTCTTCTCGGCTGCTGTCTCCCGATATTGCGATATTCCCTTTCCAGACTATTATCATTATTGTAATTATTTGCTGAAGCATCTTAGCAGTGAAAGTCCTGTTCCCCTGCCACTATCTCTCTCTAATATTATTTTTCAAAATCTCACTGTGAGTTGGACACTATTGTATGATTGTGGCTTTTTTTCCCCTCCTTGAGTCAAGGAGATTTTCCTTTGATTGTTGGCATTATTTACAGTATTGGTCTGAAAAAGGGCTATTCTGGAACTCGGAAGAATGTCCTGTATGTATCCAGAACCCCAAAGATGATATATTTGCTATATTTCCCCCCCCCCTCCAATAATTTATATTATAGATATGGACTTCTTTCTTGATATTCTAAATACCTTTGTAAATGACCTCCTTCTTCTATTACTCATTTACTAAAAAAAATCATATGTTTATGCTCATCTTAGTATATGTTCATTGCGGTGACTTTTGTGGGTGCTCCTAAACGCTGCACAAGGTTATTTAAGGAATTGCAGCAACTGGCGAACTAGAGAACACATTATGTATTTTCTCTTTTAAATTGCTATCTTTTTGTATGCCGATTCTCTGAGTTGTCCAGTAAAAAATTAGCTGTGTTTTCTTACTATCTTTTATACTGCAGCAGGAACTGCAAGAATGTTTTATTTTTTTNGTTTTTAAGAAGAGATTGGACAACCCTTTGCTTCAAATGGTACAGGGTTTTGTTTTGCTAGAGCAAGGGATTGGGCTAAGAAGACCTCCAAGGTCCCTTCCAATTCTGTTATCCTGTTATTTCTCTCTTCCTCATCAACATTTCTTGTTTAAATTGCCTTTTTTAATTTTAGTGATTGTATATGTTTTTTAAAAATCCATAAAGCTAAAATCTCAATGGCCATGTCAGCAAAACTTTCCTAAAATGCAGTGGCTTGTTTATAGCTGGAAACTTGGAAGTTATTACTTTCTAGAGGGGAGTTTGGCAATGACAGAGAAAGTAAAAACTCAACGTCTGGTTTCCGAGATTTGCATTTTAATAAAGGAAGGAGTCTTATGCAGTGGTGCCTTAGTTTTTCTTTAGTGCCCACCCAGCCCTGGTGCCTGAGGATTAGGGGAGTTGTGGTTCCAGCGCACCCAGAAGGCACAGTGTTCTATGCAGATGTTGTCAGGTTTCCGAAAGATGCCCTAATTAATTCATGAGCCTCGAGCCAAGTTTCAAAAGAAATCCAGTCATTTATTAGGAACACCTTCAGCAATACCCTATTGCAGTCAGATCTGACCTCATTTTAATTATGGCTGAACTTTGCCCCTGTTTCTTCCATCTCCTCAATCTGTGTCATAAATTACATTCACCAACGAGGTACACACCTCACAAGCCTGCTGTAGTAATCTGAGATCCGCGTGGAATGCACTCCCCCCCCCTTTCCTGACAGAAGTTTTACGGGACTTTAAATCTGCTTTAGGAAAATCCTTTGTCTTCTTTTGTAGGGCCATTTCTCTCTACTATGAGCTCTCAGAAAACGATTTGGCCTTTATCAGGCAATCCAAAGATGGCTCCGGTTTCCTCATTAATTTAATCGACTCCCCTGGGCATGTGGATTTCTCCTCCGAAGTCACAGCAGCTCTTCGCGTCACTGATGGAGCTCTTGTAGTCGTTGACTGTGTTTCAGGTGAATGTACTTAAAATTAAGATGCTTTCATTGCGCGGGAACATTGGACTTTCCAGAGAAAACCAGTAAGTACTGATAGACTGGTAGACTCTGAAGGAAAATACAGGTCGTCCTCGACTTACGACCATGATTGAGCCCAGAATTTCTGTTGCTACACGAGATGGTTGTGAAGTGAATTTGGTCCCATTTTATGACCTTTCTTGCCACGGTTGTTAAGTGAATCACTGCAGTAATTAGGTTAGGAACACGGTTGTTAATGGCTTCCCCATTGACTTTTTTCGTCAGAAGGCCACGAAAGGTGGATCACATGACCTCGGGGCACTGCAGCCGTCATAAATATGGGTCAGTTGCCAAGCGTCTGAATTTTGATCGTGTGACCAGGGAGGTGCTGTGACTGTCATAAGTGTGAAAAATGATCATGAGTCGTCGTTCTTTTTCATTGCCGTTGTAACTTAGAATGGTACTGTTGTAAGTCAAGGACTACCTGTATCTTAGCATCTGATTCTGAAGGAATCCACAAAATTCATTCACTGTTATATGTGATCAAGAAGCACCTTTGTGCTTAGTATCCGTCTGGCAAGGAAGATTCCCGATTTACTCAGACTTTTCGAAGCAAAGCATAGTAGCAAGGATAAGATGCTCCTCGGATCTGTGTCGCTCCTGTCAATCAAAGTTGCTGGATGACTAACAAAGCCATTAGCAATCTATGAATTCCTGAGCCTTATGGATAGCGCCAAGTATTTAGATTTTTTTAAAGACAATAAAACATTTTGGAAGTTGGCAGTATTATTACAAGATATCTGGCTGGTGTTTGTCTCCTCTCAAATTCACAAGTGTCACAACAAAGTGCAGTTTACCGACTTCTCTATTGTGTATATTCAGTATACCATGGAAAGGTAAAACAGATGGGGCAGTTTGGATTAAATCTCTCCCTAGCAGCAAAACTCTCTAGATTCCTCTGGGCAAACCACTTACCGTATTTTTCGGAGTATAAGACGCACCAAGATTTTGAAGAAGATTTTTAAAAAGTTTTTGCACTCTGCAAACCTCCCAAAAACGGTCCATTTTTCGCAAAAGCGGGACTGGTTTCCCCCCCCCCCAAAAAAGAGGCATGAATAGCCTTTAGGAGGCTTGTAGAATGCTCCTGGGGGGGTGCCCCCCCCAAACGAGCAAAAAACGGCCCAAAGTGGCATGCTGCATAGCCTTTAGGAGGCTTATAGAGTGCGCCTTAAGGCTGTGGGGGGGGGGGAATTGAGCAAAAAAACAGCCCATTTTCACTCATTTTTGCTCTCCCCAGCCCCCAGGAGCTCTCTGAAAGTCTCCTAAAGCCTATGCACGGCCATTTTGGTGAAGGGGGGCGTGGTTTGTGTAGGCAAAAAAAAATGCTGTATTCAGTGTATAAGACGCACCCAGATTTTCAGCCTCTTTTTTGAGGGAAAAATGTGCGTCTTATACTCCAAAAAATACGGTAATCACTAGTCTAGCCTACATCACAGGCTATTATGCATGTCAGTTAAATCTATGAGTGTTAATCTCTCACTCCCTACTTTTGGGAGAAAATGTAGAAACAAACTTGTTTAATATGTGGGTGCAATGCAATAAACTCCCCCCAATATTTCACCTTCCAGTTCTAAGAAGGCTGTTTTTCCACTCTTTATCTTTTTAAGCACTTTTCCATAATAGGCCTTTATTCCCAAGTAACATTGAATGTTTGGTGACACCTCAAAGCAAGGCAGATTAGATCAGGGGTCTCCAATATTGGCAACTTTTTAAGACTTGTGGACTTCAATTCCCAGAATTCCCCGGCCAGTATGGAATTCTGCAAGTTGAAGTCCACAAGTCTTAAATTTTGGAAAACATTGGTCTGGATTGTTCACCAGAGTTTTCACCCAGGAAAACTTCAGAATAAATAAGGTGAGATGGGCACCTCAGGGGGTATTCGATGTTTCTGCAGCATGCAGAATTTCAGCAACACAAACACCAGCCTGCCATAGCCTTGAGGATATAGAACACCAGAGTCTTTTTCTCTTTTAAGTGCTGAGAAATGGGATATGCTTCCCCAGCTGACCCAGCTTCCCAAACGCAACAAACCCTCTGAAGTGAAATCAATGATTCTTTTATTAGGAATGCCAGCAGCCCCGGCAACAAGTTTCTCTCTCACTGCAGGCTAAGTCCGGACAGAAGATGAATAGTTGTCTGGCACACCTAGTCATCTCTGCCTCCTCCCTGCCTTTTATCCCCAGAGCTAGGGTGGGGCTTCGCTAGAAGCAGTGGCTCTTACATCCCGAAGATCAGCCCATAGATTTCCACTGCTCTCCTCTCCTCTGCCTTCTATGCATCCACACGTCAGCCACTGAACTCAGCTGATCCTCCTCTTCCTCATCAGCCACCTCCAGACCTGGGACTGGTGACTCTCCATCTCAGGCCTGACGGATGGCCCAGACTCCATATCTATCTATCTCTCTCTCTCTCTCTCTCTCTCTCTCTCTCTCTCTCTCTCTCTCTCTCTCTCT